TGGTCAGGTCCTATTCTGTCTTACAGGGTTTCCATGAGTCAGAATAAAATCGACAACAGTAGGTTTGGGTTTATAAGGCATGAGTGAGAAGAAAATACTTGGATGATATTCAAATTAAATGATTATAAATTCCCTGACGGTTTTGTCCATTTTGTGTCCTCATGTAGCCCTACTACCTAAAATAGCACCTGACATTTAGTAGGTGCACAATAATTATTTTTAAAATTAATGAATAAGGTAAATTATATGAATTACTCACAAGAGAAAAGATTAGGCACTACATGGAATAAAGTATTCTACAAGCTGTTTTAAATGGAACGATTATGAAATACTGAGACAGAGTAACACCAAAAAGATATGTAAAATTTCCGAACTCAACAAATGTTAACTTAGCCTATTATTTTTCAGAAACTTTTAAGGAGGTGGTGTTGTTGCTGTTGTGTCATCAAGTCAATTCCAACTGACAGCAACCCTGTTTATGTGATAGAATAAAACTGCCTCATAGAGTTCCCTAGGCTGTAATCTTAACAGGAAGAGATAACCAGGTCTTTTCTCCAGCAGAGCTGCTGGTGGGTTCAAACCATCAACCTTTCAGTTAGCAGCTGAGTGCTTAACCACCATGCCACTAAGGCTAGGGCTATAATAATTAGGAATACATGGTCAATCTTCTAAAGTATCATTTTCAATCATCAGGTGATGTTAAGTACAAATAACTGCTAATATCAAAGGACTTACTATGTGTCATGCACTATGGTAAGAAATTTACATTAACTGTATTACTTTATCTTTACAATAACATATCATGTCAGTATTACTAGTATACTATTTTATGGCTAAGGAAACGGACATAGTTAGGCAACAATGCCCAAGGTCACACACCTAAAAAGAAAGAATCTTTATAAACAAGAAATAAACAATCTTGATGCTCTGTGTAGGCAGAACTCACAAAATACAATACTCTTCCTCTTGCTCAAATGTGGGGGCAAAAAATGAAATAGAAAAGTGAAGAGTGATGATAGGTGCATCAGAACACATTATATCACTTCGTATTTACTTTAAGTCTTTAAAAAAAAAAAAGCTGTAAAAAATCCATATGGGGAAAGGGGCATTAACTCACACACTGATGACAAGAACATAATGTGGCATAACCTTTTAAAATGTAAACTGGGAAGCAAATATTCAAACTTAAAATGTGCATACTCTCTGATTCACTATCATAGTTTGATATTTATTCTACAGAAATGAAGATTTATAGGAATAGAAATCTTTACTATTTCTGTTGAATAAATAAGGATAGTGGCTTGAACCCACCAGATACTCCGAAGGAAAAAGACACAGAAGTCTGTGCCTGTAAATAGTACAGCCTTGTAAACTCTACGGGGGCAGTTCTACTCTGTCCTACAGGGTTACTATGAGTCTGAATCAATTAGAAACAATGGGTTTGTAAGAATATTTAACTTAGTACAAGAACAAAATAATGAAAACATAAATGCTAATCAATAGGGAAATAATAAACTAACCATGGTAGTCACAGAAAATACAGAGCTTTCTATTTTAACAACATGAGATAATAAAAGGTTACCTATCTTGGTGACTATTCATGATAAATCTTTAATGATTTTTTTTCAAATGCAAACCAGAATCATTATTATTACATTTTGTAGTCTCATGTGTCCATGTGTGTGTATTTTACAGCAGATTTACTGGTGCATGTAAACTTAGCAAAAATTGAGAATGATACAAACCAAACTTAAGAGTAGTTAAGGGAATATGGGTTTGCATTAATCTCTTACTAAAAACACTTTTTAAATTAATGGGATTACAAGTGAATTTTGTTGTTGTTGTTGTTAGATGCTGCTGAGTCAGCTCTGACTCATGAGACCCTAAGCACAGCAGAACGAAACACAGCCCCATCCTGTGCCAGCCTCACGATCCTTGCTATATATGAGCCCAACTTTGCAGCCACTGTATCTATCCATTTCCTTCAGGTCCTTGCCCTTGTTCATTGACCCTCCACTTTACAAAACATGATATTGTTCTCCAGGGTAGGGTTCCTTCTGATAACATGACCAAAGTAGGTGAGATGAAGTCTGGCCATTCTGGTTTCCAAGGAGCATTCTGGCTGCACTTCTTCCAGTACAGATTTGTTACTCCTTTTAGCAGTCCATGGTACTCTTAGCATTCTTCTCTAACACCTTGACTCAAAAGCATCAACTCTTCTTTGGTCTTCCTTATTCATTGTCCAACTCTCAAATGCATAAGAAGCAACTGAAAATACCATGGCTCGACTCATAGAGACCCCTCTTTGGGTTTCTGAGATGGCATCTCTACGGAAGTAGATTGCCCAATCTTTCTTCCGAGGAGTGGCTGGTGGGTTTGAACTGCCAGCCTTCTAGCTAGCAGTCAAATCTCTTAGGCACTACGGTACCAGAGCTCCCAGGGTTAGGCACACCTTGGTCTTCAAGGAGACATCTTTGCTCTTCATCACTTGAAAGAGGTCTTTTGCAGCAGATATGTCAAATGTAGCACATTGTCTTATGTCTTGACTATTGCTTCCACTGGTGTAGATTGTAGAACCAAGTAGTATGAAGTCCTTGACAACTTCTATCTTTGTTCCATTTATCATGAAGCTGTTTCCTGGACCAGTTGTGAGGATTTTTTTTTCTTTATACTGAGGTGTTATCCATACTACTGACTGTAGTCTTCAATATTCATCAGTGAGTGCTTCAAGTCATCCTCACTTTTAGCAAGTAAAGTTGTGTCATCTGTGTATCACAGGTAATTAGTGAGTCTTCCTCCAATCCTGATGTCACATTCTTCATATAATCTAGCTTCTCAGATGTTTGCTCAGCATACAAGTTGAATTAAGCATGTGAAAGGACACAACCTTGACACACACTCTTCTTGATTTGGAACCATGCAATATCTTCTTGTTCTGTTCAAACGACAGCCTCCTGATCTATGTACAGGTTCCTCATGAGTACAATCAAGTGTTCTGGATCTCCCATTATTCTCTATGTTATCCATAATTTGTTATGATCCACATAATCAAATACTTTTGCATAGTCAATAAAACATAAGTAAACATCTTTCTGGTATTCTCTGCTTTCAGCTAAAATCCATCTGACATCACCAATGATATCCCTCATTCCATGTCCTCTTCTAAATCCAGCTTGCATTTCTGGAAGCTCTCTGTCAAGATACTGCTGCAACCGTTTTTGAATTATCTTTAGTAAGATTTTATCTGCATGTGTTATTAATGACATTGTTCAATAATTTCCACATTCTGTGGGATCACCTTTCCTTTTGATGGGTACAAATATGGATCTCTTCTAGTCAGTTGGCCAGGTAGCTGTCTTCCAAATCTCTTGGCATAACCCAGTGAGTGCTTCCAGCTGGGCATCCATTTCTTGAAACATCTCAGTAGGTGTTCTGTCAATTCCTGAAGCCTTGTTCTTTGCCAATTCCTTCAGTGCAGCTTCAACTTCTTCCTTCAATACTATTAGTTCTTGATCATATACCACCTCCTGAAATGGATGAACATCGACCAATTCTTTTTGGTACAGTGACTCTGTGTATTTCTTCTATCTTCTTTTGATGTTTCCTGCATCATTCAATAGTTCGCCCATAATATCTTTCAATATTGCAACTCGAGGCTTAATTTTTTTTCCTCAGTTCTTTCAGCCTGAGAAATGCCAAGCGTATTCTTGCCTTTTGGTTTTCCAACTCCAGGTCTTTGCCCATTTCATTATAATAATTGACCTTGTATTCTCAAGCTGCTATTTGAAATCTTCTGCTCAGCTCTTCTATTTTGACATTTCTTTAGCTACTCTCTTTTCAAGGACAAGTTTCTTCTGACATCCATTTTGATCTTTTCTTTCTTTCCAGTCTTTTTAATGACCTGTTGCTTCTTTCATGGATGATGGTCTTGATGCCATCCCACAACTCCTCAGGTTTTTGGCCACTGGTGTTCAATGCATCAAATCTATTTTATAGATGTTCTCTAAATTCAGGAGGGATATAATCAAGGTCATATTTTGGCTCTCATGGACTTCTTTTAATTGTCTTCAACTTCAACTTGAACATGCATATGAGTAGGTGATGCTCTGTTCCACAATCAGCTGCTGGCCTTGTTTTGGCCGAAGATACTGAACTTCTCCATCGCCTTTTGCCACAGATGTAGTTAATCTGATCCCTGTGTATTCCACCTGATGAAGTCCACGTGTACAGCTGTCGCTTATGTTGTTGAAAAAAGGTATTTGCAATGAATAAATTGTTGGTCTTACAAAATTCTATCATGTGATCTCCAGTGTTATTTCTATCACCAAGGCCATATTTTCCAACTACCAGTGACTCTTCTTTGTTTCCAACTTTTGCATTCCAGTCACTAGTGATAATCAACACATCTTGAATGCAGGTGAATTTTAGTTGTTGTATTTTTTTTGGTATGTTCAATTAAAAAAAAAAAATTCCCAAGACTATTTGCTAAAAAACAGGAGGTGATTTTGTATTATAAGCTGCTTCACATGCATTTACTTTTGTATCCTAAGCCTAGAACATAGTATAAATGAAGGAATGCGCATTACCAGCTAGGGCTTTTCACAAGGCATTATGCCCCTACTTACTCAGATTTGTAGACCTGTCAATAAAACCAGAATGTAATGAGAAAGGATACTTAGGAAAGAAAATATACTTTCCAAAACTTTGCTGTTATGAGATTTGATCTGTAGAAATCAAGGAAAATTAGAGATCAGAAAATTGCCCTGTCCCTTTTCTGTAAAGAAAAAAGAAAAAAAGAACCAATTTAAACAACCTGGGCTCCAAATAGCTCCATGACCTTACATAAGTAATTTAACCTTCTTAAGCTTCAGTTTCATCAGCTAAAAAAACTGAAGCTATTAATAATGCACATGTTTCCCGTAAGTATTTATGAACATGTCTGGTAAACTGCAGAGCAATATTAAAAATCAGAAAATGGTATGAGACTAACTCAGGCATACCTGCATCACCAAACATCAGCAAGGCAGCAGCAATTGCTCCATCCATGGTGCTTGTTGATTCAATCAACTATCAATGAGAAAAGATTGTTTTAAAAACAAGATTTTAAAAATTATTTCATTAAGTCATTCAGATATTTAAGAACAAATGTATTAAATATGGACAAGATGGGAAGAATGTGTGTAGGTACATGGTGGGAAAATATATGCGTAATAGTTTAAATCCTAAAATGAAATTTCAGAAAGCTTATTTATCTAAAATGTAACTTATCTAAGCATATTTTAAAATGTATGAGATTTACTCATCATTTCTATAATAGGAGCATAAAGACATAATAAAGTATATACAGTTTATTCAAGATTTCTGTTGTCCAGTTTTACATTAAAGTCTTAAAAACTTCTTATGAGTTCAGACATTGTGTGTGCTGCCACACGTGAGAGACAGACAGACAGACAGCTACAGAGAGAGGGGATGGGAGACTGACAGACACTTATTACATTCTTATTTTTTTGAGAAAAAAGCACAGTCCTGCTCTCATTTTCTACTTAATACTTCTGAAGATGAGTGGAACAAAAGTGTTTTCTCACTTTTCATTCTATGATGATTTGCTTAAAATTTTTGAAGAATATATTTACATATTATTTACACAATTAAGTTTCAATATACTGTTTTTATACTGTAAGCATTTTGGACTTTAGAAAAAACTAAGCACTTCTTATTTTTCTCTTGCTACAGTTTCTCATATTTCCAACAAGTTAGTTATTTAAAAAAGACTTACTTTTTAAAAGTGATTTCTTTACAAAAATAACTTTTTAAAAATTACTTAAAGTTATAAATGTATTTTTTTAAAAAATATGTGTCAAATTTTACTGCTATATCAAATTTTGTTGCTGATGAGGCTTGTTGTTGGTGATGATAGATATAAAGATGAAAATGGAAACCCTATGGGGCAGTTCTACTTTGTCCTACTGGGTTGCTATGCATTGGAATCAACTGGACAGTAATGAAGGTTTTTAGGTTTTATGTTTTTGTAGAAAAGTTGGGGGGAATGCAGAATGACAGATAATTGGTTCAAAGCTTCTTTTTGGGACAATGAAAATGTTCTACACTTAGATTATGGTGATAGTTTTCATAATTTGGTAATTATACTGAACAATGATGTTTATGGTATGTAAATTATATTAAAATAACCAAAACAAACCCATTGTCATTTAGTCTTCCTACTCATAGTAACCCTGTAAGACAGAAGAGAGCTGCCTATAGGGTTTCCAAGGCTGTAAATCTTTACTGAAACAGACTGCCACATCTTTCTTCCATGAACAGCTAGCAGGTTCAAATCACCAATCTTTTGGTTAGCAGCCAAGTGCTTAACCATAGTGCTACCATGGCTCATATTGCAATACAGCTGTTAAATTTAACATTAAATAAAAACCTAGCTTTTCAATTCATCTGAAAACCTGAATATCTGATAACAACATGCTAGAAAACTCACATGGCCATACCCAGCTGGAGCTGAGCAGCAGTCATGCCTTTTAGAAAGGGCTATGTATACACTCTGTAACATGCTACCGTCTACTACTTACTTTAGTTACCTGTGTAACCTAATCCAGACATGTTTAACTCCTAAACCTCACAATGGGGTGGGAACTGGGCAGCAGGGGCTTGCTGCTGTTGGAACTTGTTGTTGATGACAGACAGAATGGTGAAAAACATTAAACTTCCAATTAAATGACTCCTCTAAGATCATTCAAGTAATAAGTAGCAGAGGTAGGAGTAAACTGTTAGTCTTCACAGATTTACTCTTTATCTGAAACTTAATTGAACAGTCAATTTTTACTTGCTCTTAAAACAAGAATCATCTATTATAAATCAAGTAATTATATATTCCAATTATAGTAGTTTATTTTGTTTCTATAGTTAGGCTGATGTTTCTCACCAAGACTACCACTGACAGGACCATTTTTGTTTCTTTGTTATGCAAGACTGCCCTCAGTATTGTAAGGTGTTTCATATTCCTGGTTCCAAGGCAGCAAATGCCAATAGTGACCACTTGTAATTATAGAGAAAAAAATTTCTCTTACATTTATGTTTCCAGTGGGAGGTAGGGGATTCCTCATTTTAGAACCACTCAAGCACAAACAAACCTTACAAACTGACATGACTACCGAGGCTAAAATTCTTATATTTATAGGTAGATAAATTAATGAGTTAAAGATTCTCACCAAGTAAATAAATCTCTGGCATTTACTTTCATTAATATGTGATAGTTAATAATTATGTTCAAATATAAGGTATCTTTAGAAAAATGACTACTCACTAACTACAACAACAGATACATTATCATTACCACAATAATCAATTACTATAAAAGGGTATAACCTTAAGTAAATCGTTGTCACTTCTTTGTGGAAAAAGTTCCTTCAAGGTCTGAAGTTTAGCATCTTTAAGGTCTTCCAACTCTGAAATGTCTTCCATTTCTGAAATATCATCATTATTTCTACCTGCCATCGTAGGAGGGCCTTGGGAATCTTCATCTTCAGATGGCTCAGAACTAAAATATTTCCAGGAGAAAAACCCAACATTTTAAATGCACTACTGTTATCAGTACTGTCCATATATGTATATGTAATATGGAGCATCTCCACCTCCTTTCCATTTTAAATGCAATCTACACTTGTCAAGAATAAAAAAACTTTTTCATTTTATTATGGTTATGTATTTAAATCTACATTCTCAGAAAGTAAGAATATTTTATAAATATCTCAAATTATCTGGACCTGGAATGGAAAGGGACAGCCAGGAGAAGGATCTGGCATTTGTTAAGACAGACACACACTTGCTGCACTATCCACCTTCTTCTCTTTCCTACTCCTTTCACCTATGCTTTGCATATCAATGAGTATCACGTAGCTCCTAAGAAATTATGAAGCCTACATATAAAAGTAAAATGATTTTCATAGCCTATGCAGATAACAAGGATCTAAGTAATAAATTGAAATAGTCCAATTCAGTATCAGAGTCTTTGCCAGGGAAAAAAACATTTCCTCAGCAAATAGAAGCATTTATTTCATGAGGCTTTATTTTCCAAGAACGAACTATAAATCCCATTTAATTTCACTTTGTGTTTACTCTACAAAAAAACCCCACATTTTGTGCCAAATTTTATTCATTTATTCATCAAATAAAAAAAAAAAATCTCCTTTGAAAATTTAGTTTTTAAACATGGTAGAGATTCCGCAGGTCAGAACTAGAACTGTAATAAGTAGGCAGAAGTTATAAAGATCAGAGGAAGAAAGCAAGATGGTAAGAGAGTTAAGCATATTCCTAGAATATACTTCGCAATGCTTCAAGACTTATTTTGGAACAACTCTAACTCTTGGACACATCCAGAATCTGCTAAAAATGGCTTTTCTATGTCCATTTCATGTTTGTTCTATAGTGCCCTTTAGAGCACTGGTCATACCTAAGACCTGAAAACACTGACATGCAGATACTCAAAAAACAGAAATATGGTTTTTTAGAAAGCTCCCAGGTGACTTCTTGAACCTTGCTCTCAGAAACTGCTCAAAAGTAACTAAGTGAAAATAAGTATCTTCCTTTTTTACTATGCCTGTCCTTAAAATGTTTAAGGACAGTTAGATCTGTCTCCCCTTCCAGTATACCCAGATTTCTCATTCCGGATGCACTCACCTCTGAAATATTACCCTACTTTACTACTCCTAATTCACTGAAAAAATGAAAGCATTCAGGTTTGAATTCCTTATAACTCCAGCCCTAAATGACCACTTTCAAAAGTCCTTACTCTGCTAGTTGTCCCATTCTTAACTCCGTGATCAATCTTAGAAACTTTACTGGAAGGACAAACTTCACATGCTTCCTGATATAATAAGTTTACCATGAATCTTACCACACCTTGGATTTAACTTCTAGTTTATAGAAAACACAAGCGATAGAGCAAGAAGTTCAATATTATCATGAGGAAAACAATGAGAAAAATCTATTTTCTCAAATACAAATGACCTGATCTCTTTAACAAATCCAAGTTCTTAAAAAGCTAACAGGGATTGAACAAGGTGGAGGTGTGGTGGTGGACTATTTTAGATTAAAAGAGAACTAAGAGTCAGCTCTGGTGGCGTAGTGCCTGAGGCATTTGACTGCTAACCAGAAGGCTGGTGGTTCAAATCCACCAGTCACTCTTCGGAAGGAAGACTGGGCAATCTACTTTGGTAGAGATACTGCCTTGGAAGCCCAAGGAGGGGTGGCTATGAGTTGGAGTCAAGCTGACTGCAGTGAGTTTGGTTTTTCTTGGTTAACTCCAAATACAATGAACGCTCCTTGTTTGGATCTTAGTTTGAAAAACAAGACACAAAACACATGCAATCTGAGCATGAACTTAGAATCTGGTTATTAGATGATGTCAGAGAATTGTTTATAATGATATGCTAACTATTTGGGAAGGAGATGCCATACAAACCCATTTATTAAGAGGAGAAACATTGGGATACCTGTAATTTATGTCCAAATACTTCATGTAATTATTTTAATAAATGAAACAAATAAGAAAAAAAAGTTAATAATGAATAATTTTTAATGTAGGTTATAAGTATACAGGGGTTCATTATATACGATACTGTTTTCTTATAAACTTAAAACTTTTAAGTATTGAAAAAAAATCTACAAGAACAATAAAGTTGACCACTTTTGAGTTCTTTTCATCTAGCCTCAAATAAAGAAGTTCCCTCCTGTTGACAGCTAAGTCACCTGTCAGGGCTAAGGGATTCTAAGCATTTCCACTGCTTAGAAGACACTGCTCTGTTGCTATATAACTGCCTGAGACTTTTGTCTTTCCATAACTCTTCCTAAATGAGTACAATGTGCTCAAGACTGCATTCATGCACTAGCTCAGTGTGCCAGGAATTACAGGGACTGAAAACATCAGCAAAAAAAACCCAGCAAATTTTCCTCTCCTTTACAAATTTTATGAGACTTTAAATTTCTATGTCTTTACTTTCTATATAGTTCCTGTATTTATTGAAGAGATCAGGTTATTTGTATTTGAGAAAACACATTTTTCTGATTGCTTTCCTAGTGATGGGACTGAACTTACTGCTCTATCACTTGTGTTTCCTATAAACTGGAAGTTAAATCCAAAGCATGTTAAGATTCACTATTTTATACCTTCTGCCTGACCACTTGGTAAAACTGCTTTCAGCAAAGACAGTAATATCCTTTAAACTGCCAAATGCTATGCAAACTTTTCCCTGCTTATCTGCGTTTTCCCTCTGTGGTCCCATACATTGTCGACAAACCACAAATCCTAGAAAATGTATGTCTACCCCCACCTCATGGATTCTAAAACATTACTCTATTTTCCTTTCATCTCTCTGGCCTGTCCTTCTTATTTTCTATAGCAGGCTCTTTTTCCTTTGCTTACTTTTTGAAATGCTGTTGTAATCTAGGATTTGGTCCAGCTCTTTCTCAACTATAAATGTTTCTTGGGAGATGTCAACTGCCAGAGTTTCTGACTACTATCTACACATCAGTGGTTTTCAACTATAGGAGATTTTACTCTCAGAGAATATCTGGCAATGTCTGGAGATATCTGTCATATTACAAGGATCAAAATGGCATCCAGTGGGTAGAGGTCAGGGATGTTGCTAAATATCCCACAGTGTACCAGGACAGCCTCCACAACAGATAACTGTCTAACCCAAACTGTCAATACTGCCAAAGTTAGGAAACCCTGACAACTGAAATGCCTATATGCAGGGGATATAAACTATACAATGTTCACACAATGCACAGCTATGGAGAATAAAAGATTTCTATGAAATGGCAATAAGTGATTTCTAGGGTAAATGGATAAAATGAAAAACAAATGAACATATATAGTGTGCTATTTTTTATATAAGATACATGAAAGAAAAACAGAAACTCTCACAAGAAACTAAATAAATGAATGAATGGGGAGAAAAGGTAAAGCTCTTCTTTCTAGTAGAATACCAAATAACAACAGTAGAAAAAAATGCCAGTTAGTATACTACCATTTTGCAACCATCACAGTAGTAAACTGGTTAGGCAACAATCATCAATGGATACCAAAACTATTAGGTAAAAGTCTGCTGGGAAATATGATTATTACCCAGTCTCAAATTATCTCCCAACTGATCACTTAATCATTACAGATGGAAAAAATGCTTAACTTTGTTATGTGGAGAAATTGGAAATGACCAGGCTAACTGAGTAATGAAAGTTAACTTCATCAATAATGGGACAAATGTGCCTCCTGCTATGATACTCTGAGGATACAAGATCATTTACGCAGTATTCCTGCCACTTACCCTGACTCTATCATGAAGAAACATGAGGTAAACTTACACTGAGAGACATCTAAAAAAAATTTAAAATAGCCTGTTCTCTTCAAGAAAATCTAAAAAAGCCTAAGAAACACGGTTTCAGATTTGAGACTAAAAAGTCATGACAAAGTAAATGCAATGTATGATCCAGGAATGGATCCTGGAGGGAAGAAAAAAAACTTAAAGAAGTACTACTCAGAGCTGACAAGGGGCAAGGTTATGGTCATTACATGGTCACAGCCAGCTACCCAGAGGGACCGAGTAGTTGATCCTGCGGGCTTGGGACCATAGTCGCAGGGGACATCAAGCTCAATT